GTTCAACTCACTGACTCAATTATATAGTTGTACTGTAGTAATTAACAGTTCACTTTAAAGAAAGAATATCAGTGACAAATAACTAAATTGTCGATCTGTTCACACAAAGCAATCATATGTCTTCAGAAGACTCAAAATTTGGCGCATGAGTCAACTGGACTTCTTTTACGATACTTTCCTAGTACTTAAGTGTCTTTTCTGAATCTTGAAAGCTCCAGGCTGACCAGATCTCCAGACATTAGTACACTACTAGAATAATCTACAGTGTCCTACAGAACAACGAGTGCAGAACTATGAGGGTGAGTAAAAGTTGACAGAATTGTCATATTTGGGTGAACTCAGACTGAATCACTGGCCATAACACAACGACGTTCAAAATGAGGCTAGTGGATGATTGAGAGTCTGAAATAACAGAAATTCTTCCTGTTTTAGACTGAAATGAAAGCAAACAGCATCATGCTCCGAACATCTGCATCCCTGTTGATGATGGATAAGCAAAGAGTTGTCATGATCTCTCCGAGAACAAAACACAGGTGTGTGAATTAATTCCCAGGAACATTTCACCTCACAACCATCTTCATCCACCCTCTATCTGCTAATCAGATCAAACCGCAGAGAGACTCAAGAGCTGTCACCGGCCTCAGCTCTAACCGCTAATCCTGCGCTAACTTTGATCAGATCCAGACATCCATGCTACACAGCTGGGCCAATCTTGGCTGAGTGAGTCACTGACTTTAAGGCCACAACAGCAGTGAAGGACAAAAACTCTTCAGGCAGCTGTCCAAACAATGAGGGATCTAAGTCCTACCTGCTTTCCTCATACTTTCAGAATGGTAATTATTAGAGTATGCTTCTGTATACTTTTTCACCAACAGTCTGGCAGGGCTCAAATACATCTGGAGATATAGAAATGTCACTTTTATCTGAAGCTTGGAGAATCCTTGGGTTATGTTCCTAAGGGCGCAAAGGTGAAAGTTCATGAATCACCCCTCACAGGCTTTGAACCTACAACTTTCCAATGGTCAGTCCAGATCTAGGCCTACATAAAAAGTAGATGTGAAGCCAAAAAAGCAGTCAAAGAGATTTCGGAGCCTTTCCCTGTTAACTGAAGGAGGTATTAGGGCAACAATGGCAGCAGATCTTGCAGGCCTGTATTGATCTTTTAGGCTCACACTTGTCCGAGACTGTGTGCCGTCATTTGAATCCACAGGGGCTTAACGACAACTTACAGCATCAACAATAGCTCAAAGTGCGTCTGCGCTTTAGTGAAAACGTAGGAGATCAAAAAAAAAAAGTATGAATTTAAATCAGAGAGGGGAATCAAGACAAGAGCGTGAAAATTCCATTGGGGGTGAAGTTGCTAACATCACTAGGTTTAATACCGAATCCTAATTAAAGTAAATCGAAGAAGTATAAAATGGGAAATAGACCGCCTAAATGGGTCGTCCAATATCATTAAACAATAAACAGTGAATCCTATTTGATAGGCTTAATTCAAGATGCAATTTCCCATTTCAAATGTTTCTCAGTGTGGAATAAGTTCTCTTGATTGAGATATTTCTGATGCTGGATCATAATTTAGAGGGGTTAATTGCTTCTGCAGCAACAGGAAATGATTCTTGCATCAATATGTGGCTGTTGAATGCAGGCTTGACCTTTGTTAAAATCTCAAAGAAAGGTAACTCACTAAAAACAGCAAAACTGGACATATTCTGCATATTATCCATAAAATGAAGTGAAAATAAACATGGCTCTCAACTGGTTTTGCTTCAGCACCCAGACTTTACATTGGACACCATGTGGCAACACATTACCACAACTGTGTATCGTAAAAAAATAAATATATATATATATATTTATAAGTCAATAATTAACTAATTATGAATATGTATAAACAGTACCTTTTTTTTGGAAGAAAATTGATATTTATTTAAAAATTATTAGAAATCAAAAAATATTTATATTTCCAATACATTGTTATTGAAGCTATTTCAAAAATATTTCCATTTCCAATAAATTATTATTTAAACTTCTCGAGAAGCAAATCAACATATTTGAACAATTTCATGTGACACTGAAGACTTAAGTAATGATGCTGAAAATAAATAAGTTACATTTTAAAATATATTAACATAGAGAACAGTTATTTTAAAACGTAATAACAATAAGAATATAT